GGCGGATTATTCTTCGTATGTAGTCTACCTTCGACGTAGAGAAAACTCTCGCACGGCAGCGTATAGGTCCTGCTGTTGTATGGGTATTCGTATCTCGTCGCTGTATCCGAAAGTGGTGTTGGCGTACGGATTGTACGTGTGACTCTCGATCTTCACGATGCGATCGTCGAAGACGGGTTCCCCGCCGATGTTCAGAATGTCATTCATGTCGTCGAACTATCGCGCGGCTCTCGGTATGACGAAACCCATGAATCACAGAAAAGCGACGTTGGTGGCGGATAATCCGCCGACGCCCCTCTCTCTCGAGCGCGCGACTCGAGTTCCCGCGACGCGATCGCGGTCACCGCTGCTGCCGCCGCGATGCGACGTCGCGACGCTAGATTCGCGCACGACGAGCATCGCCCCATTCCCGTCTCTCGCCGCGTGCTCTCTATCGTCTGCGTCGTACGTGCAATCGAATCGAGATCTCCTCGTCGCGGAAATCGATCAATCGACCGTCCTGATCGACGACGCGCAGCGATACGTCGGTCACGAGTCGCGCGATGACCGGCAGATAAATGATTTGCCTCGGAATCTCCGACACTTTATATCCTGGCGGAACGTTCGGCGCGAATTCGTGTATCGTGTGGGCGGATCTCCCGTTCACGTACGCGTTCGTCGTCAGGTTGCGAATCGTGTTAACCGCGATAATGCTCACGGGCTCGTCGGACGCGTATCATTTGTTCGGTCGCAATACGCGAGACTGGGAGAAACCTAATAACGATCCGATATTGTTCGGTTTGGTGAAATTAATTCGGTACGCGCATTTGATTTCGCTTCTCATGGTATTGTCGTTACCGCGAGAACGCGATCGCCGCTCTCGTCCTCCGCGTCCTCGATGTCGTACAGATATTCGTCGTCGTCGTCGCCGTCGCTGACGCCATCGCCGCCGTCTCTCCCTCCGGTACTCGCGCTCGGCGATTGTCGCCGTTTTCGAAGAATCGCGGCTCTCAGATACGCGCTTATGTTGCGCAGCTCGTAGGATCCGATCGGGATCGTGATCGTCTCGTCGTTGTCGTCGAAGTAAAATTTATTGTTCGAGGAATTCACGTTCGGAATCGTGTTGTAGGTCTCGAAATTGGTTAGGCCGAGCTCGTAATCGTCGTCGCTCAGATCGAGAGGCGGAAAGTATCTCGCCGTGAGAACGTTGCTTCTTCCGGTCAGCGTGAGAATCAGACATGATGGCGCGCGCTATCGCCGTTAGAGACCGAAGGGCTTCCTTTTTCCTCCTCCCAAATCGACTCGTCGAAGGAAGCGCAGGCACAATTGTCCGCAAACGCTCTGATCATACGTCTGCTGAGAGTCGCGATTGTACGCGATGCGCGTGTCGCGTCCGAGATAACGCACGAGTTCTCGAGGCGAAGATTGCCGAAAGCGTCGAAGTAGATAGCGTCTTTTCCCCTTTTAGCGTATGCCACCCAATGCGTATCCAGCCCCGAGGCGTCGTCCAGATTCACGATACCACTCTCGTCACGACGAACTCGCGCCGGCAACGCGTCGCGCATGAATACACCTCTGAAATGACGCACGCGAGCGCGCTTGGCCGCGCTATTCAACGTTCGTCGTGACGCCGATCGGAGCTACGACGTCGTCTAACGCGCGCAGAGGCGCGACTTTGTTTACCTCTTCCTTTTAACCGTTCGTCTGCCTCGTCTCGCGATGCTTCCGCCGCGCTTGTAAGGCGCAAGATACAAACCGCGACCCTCCATCGCTCGATTGTGTCGCTGCAGCTCCTCCAATTGTCGGCGCGCGGCCTTATCGTCGTTCACCATCTTCGCCACGCCGGCCGCTCCGCCGATCAGCGATCCTAAAGCTCCGAGCACCGGCAACAGCGGCAGGAAGCCGCCGCGTTTCGCCGCGGGAAGAACTCGTTCTCTCGTCGTCCTCCTCCTCGTCGAGATCGTTCTCCTCTTGCCGCCGCCGCCGCCGCTCTTTCTCGCGCCTCTTCGCGCTCCAGTCATACCCATTCCTAGTTTCGTCTTCGCCTTCATAGCCGCCCTTACGGCCGACGCCGCTGCTTTCTCGCCGAGAGTCGAATCCTTGGCCCGGATACACTCGAACGCTCTCGCTTCGAGCGTCCGATCCGCGACGTGCCGATCGGCGAGATCGCCGCTCCGCGAATAGGCGATGTCGTGCTCGCGGCAAGCCGCGTCCAGCGGATTGACTCCTCGATCGCCTCGCGCGAGCCGCTTCGCGAGACGAGTACCAGGACCGCAAAACTGATATCCTGGTATATGTAGTTCGAACGGAAGAGCGTTTATAGTTCTATTGAGCAAACCGCTACCGCCGATGACTGCCGTCGCGGCGTCCTCAGCGTATCTCATACGCCTCGATCGTCGATGCGCTCATCGTCACGCCATTTCGTTCTCTCGGCACATGCCGCAGTCTTTGATGCACGGCGGCGGATCGTCGATGTGCGTCTTGCCACGGCTGATTGTGATGCTTGTGACAGAGGCGATAACGCTGCACATCCGGATCGTCCTTCAGATGTATAGGCAATCTCTCCCATAATCGATCGACGAAATCGCCTTGTCCAGCAGAAGCTTCTTCGGAACGTACTGCAACTAATCGACGCTAAGTCCGAAAATATCGTAATCGTCAATAGAATAAACATGACGAAGCATCGCGCGCGCGCGCGTAACTTTATCGCGTCACCGTCGGACACGCCTAACTGCGCGATCGTTTTTTTCCCTCTATATATATGCTCGCGAGGGCAAATCCGCGCTCGTTGCTCGCGCGCGCGCGAGCCTGCGCACTGAGACAGGTTCACTCGCGACAACGAGGAAGAATCGCGAGAGAAGAGAGAGAGAGAAAAAACGATGTGTTTCGTGCGTCAACCAATCGCGATAAGAGTGTCCAACGTCGACAGTAAGACGCGCTCGGTGAACGAAGAACCGCGAAAACACGGTAATCTATTATCGACCGCAATTCGCTGCGTAATCTGCGGTCCCTCTAATTGCGGTAAAACGAACGTGCTGATAAGCCTTCTGGAGAGTCCGCACGGCGTGCGATTCGAGAGCGTGTACGTTTACTCGAAGTTTACTCAGCCTAAATATCGATATCTGGAGAAATTGTTCGCACGGTGAGAGCGGACATGGTGAATAATCAGCTTATCGCGAGTATGAGGACGCGAGTGGATAACAACGCGGCCTCGTCGGCGAAGAAAATTGTCGCTCTGAGCAAGAAGATCGATGCTCTCGAGAGCGCCGCGACCGAAAGATCGAGCGCTCTGGAAACCGACGTTATGCAGATTCGCGCGAGGGGGAGCGCTCTCAAGAATCGGCTGCAAACGCTGGAGAATCTGCAGGAGCTTGCCGCGACGAGGATCGAGACCGTCGAGGCGGAGAAATCGGCCTCGTGCGCGGTCGCCGACAAGCGACTGGGCGATCTGGAGAGCTCCGTCGAGACGAATCGGGCGAACGGGGACGCATCGAGCAAACGCGTTGCGCGAACTGGAGACCTCCATCGCGCGGCTCGAAGAGATCGATGAAAACGGAGAAGCGAGTGCGCGCCTTGGAGAGATCTCTGTCGCACGTGAAGAATATAGTGGCGAACAACGAGAGAAATCGAGCCGCGTTGAGCGGTCACGACAGAACGCTGCAGGAGTTGACGGCGAAGGCGCTGACTTCTAACGCGAAATTGCGAGAACTGCACGCCGAGGTGGCGCGTCTGAGGAAAGACGCGAACGAACTCGCGAGGAGAACGGCCGCGACGACGACAACGGCGACGAAGGCGGCGGCGAAGGCGGCGGTGGCTGCGATTCCTAAGACGATTGATCCGAATAAGGTGGTTATAAAACTGGACGCTAAAATTCTTTTAATAAGCAACAGTTGAAAAGAGGGTAGAAAAAAAATAGAGACGGCGAGATGAGCGCCGCGAAACGGAGACTCGTGTACGAGCTGCACGCGCCCGCGAGAAAGAGCTTCCCCCGCCGCCGCGTCGCGGTGCGCGGATACGACGATCTGTGGCAAGCGGACGTCATCGAGATGCGCCCTTATGCCGGACAGAACAGAGGCCACAATTACATACTCACCATCATCGACGCTCTGAGCAAGTACGCGTGGGCGTTCAAGAGAAAGAGCGGCGACGAGGTCGCTCGAGCCCTGTCGAGCGTGACGCGCGCCTCCGGGCGCCGCCCGAGGAATCTGCAGACCGACAAAGGAAAGGAGTTCTACAACGCCGAGGTGCGAAGATTCGTAGATAGACACGGAATCAATCACTGCTCGACGTATTCGGTGCTGAAAGCGTCGATCGTCAATCGCACGCTCACGAACTCGATGAGGAAGTACTTCACGCTGAACGGAACGTACAAGTGGCTCGACGCGCTGTCGCGTCTAATATCCGAGTACAACTCTTACAAGCATCGAACCATCGGGATGCGTCCGATCGACGTGACGCCCGCTCGAGCGTCGAGACTCCTGTCGATGGTGTACAGCCACCCGAAGATCGCCGCTCCGGGAAAATTTCGACCGAACGATCCCGTGCGCGTGAGCAAGTACAAGACGCTTTTCGAGAAGGGATACACGCCGAATTGGACCGCGGAGATCTTCCGCGTAGCCGAGGTGCGATGGACGAATCCCGCGACGTATCTGCTGAAGGATTCGCGCGGCGAGCCGATAGCCGGCGGATTCTACGAGCACGAGTTGCAGCGAGTCTCCGATCCCGACGTGTATCTCGTGGAGAGAGTGCTGCGCCGAAAGGGCGACGCGGTTCTCGTGAAGTGGCTGGGAATAAACAGGTCGCATAATTCGTGGATCGACAAAGCCGACATATTGTGACGAATATACGTATATTTTTGTGTAATATTAAAGATAAGAAAATACATCGCGCGTATTGTGACGCGTCGCAACGAATATATATATATATATATATATATATATATATATATATATATATATATTGTGTAACATTAAAGATAATAAAATAATTACGCATATCTATAAAAATACATCGCATCGTGCTTAAGATTTATCCGCGCCTCTCCTCACAGAGGTATCCTGTAGTGCCCGCACGGCAGAGTGTCGGTCGAATCCGGCACGACGCTTATCGTCGTACGGACTGAGCGCGACCTTCGACTCGCGCATGATGTACACCTCGTGTAACTTGGATCTCAGGCACGACTGCTCGCGAGTCATCTCGATATCGCGTCTCAGGCAGCGAGCGTAATCGTCGAACGTCAGCGTTCTCGCGACGACGCTGCTCTTCACGCCCTTGCTCTTCTTAGTGTCGCCCCTACCCTCAACTCGCAACGCATACATCTTCGCTTTGAATCTGACGAACTCGAGCATGAGAGCATCGTTGTTCTCGTCCTTCATCAGACCGAGAACCTTCTTATTCGCACGCGGCACGCCGTAAGGATTGTCGACGGCGTAATCGCTCATGTCGAATCTATCGATATCGCGCTTCATTCGCTCGTACGCGTCCTCGCACTCTATGCTATAAATGAGACTGTCCGTGTCGGTGTACAATATTTTACACTTATCGCCGTAGAGCGGTGACATGTATTCGTAGTGAAACGCGTACAGACGAATCTTGGATATATCGAGAATGGACATGCCTACGTAGATCGGTTTGTCGATCTTCGCCTCCAATTTGCGCAATTCCACGGCCATGAAATTCTCCGACAATATGCTTCTACTGAAATTCGGCTTGGAGATTAGCGCCTCGGCTCCAAATCGCCCGTCCCATCGAGTCGCGAGTCGAACGTCCACGCGATTGCGCACGTTCTCCATGGTCTTGCCGAAGACGTTGTTCATCAACTTGTATAGATTCTTCTCGAAATCGTTACTCGCGTTAGTGCGTAAGCGCGTGTTAAGTTCCACGTATCCGCGTAACCACGGCGACTGCGAGAAGCGCAGCGCGTGATGAATCCTCGTCAGACGCAGACCGTGACGAACGCACTGCTGCAGATTGCGATAGTGCGTGACGTATCGGCGCTTATTGTACAGCGTGGCTAGGAGTTTGCTCTGCCGCTTCTCCGGCGGCTTATCGCGCGTGGGACAAAACGGTAGATCGGCGTGGGCGTCAGCCGGATAGTCGAGATCGACCTCGAGATGTGTCCCGACGGTCGAGTCCTCCGTCGCGGACATCACGTCGAGACTCTCGAGGTCGTCGACCCACTCGAATCGCTCGTACGGCAACGGCTGACACATCGCCCAACCGTACAGATTGTTGATATCGAGATACATCAGATAGATCGACGATCGCGACGGATCGTACGCGCTCATGTACTTGTTGTTAGCGCGAGCGTATCTGTTAGAGCACTGACTCAGATCGCCGCGTATTCCGCATTCCACGAACATCATCATATCGATATCGGTGAGCAGCTCGAAACGGACCCCCGTGTACTTCAGCATCGCGTCCCATGTGTATCCCGGCAGCGTGAAGTAGTACGCGGGATCTAAACCGTAACTCTCCAAGCAAGCGGCGCGAAAATTTTCGAACATGTCCGCGAGCAGAAGAACGTCGGTCTTCAGATAGAGATCGCTATAGTCACCCAACGTTTCGACACTAAATCGCTCCCAGACGCGCGTCGCGTGCGAGTAATCGCTCTCCGATACGGTATGAGAACTGTAGAAGGACTCGCGCGGCGAAAGACGCGTCTCCCGCAATCTCTCGACGCTGTCGACGTACTCGTACGGAAACACGCCCTTGCGCGTGAGAAGCCGGAAGTCGTCGTCGGCGAGATCGCGAAACTCGCCTCGCGCGATCGTCAGTTTGTTCTCGTCGAGATACGACGCCAGCTTCTCGAGACCGGCGCCTAAAAACTTGAACGAGTCCACGAATCGTAATTTGACGCATCTGGAACGCACGGCGTTTCCCTCGTCTTCCTCTGCCGCCGCGGTATCTCGAACGATCTTCGAGAAAGCTATGTACGATTCCTTCGTCACCGGCAACAACTCGACGCTGCCAGGATACGCGTTAGCCACATCCTTGATAATGAAGTGCGCGTCGTAACCCGATAGATTGTGAAAGAATACGAGTATGACGTAGGAGTCTTTGTAATTCAAATTGCACGCAGAATGCGTCGGACCTCTGAAACGGCCGGTCAAGTGACAGTGATCGCGAGTGTCATCGGTCTCGAACGGTCTCTCGCACGCATAACAGGGCGACGCGCTCGTGAATATCTCCCGCTTGTCCGGCGTCAGATCCGCCATCGGTACCACGGCGAGGGCGACCTTCGCGCGAAGCGCCACATCGCGCAACTCGCGCACGGACCACGCGACGCAATCCTCGCCGCGATAAAATCAGTACGCCGACGCGACGTCGTCAAAGGAGCAGCGCGTGTAATAAGCCACGCTGTAAACTCTGTGATGCTGAACGATCCTCGTATTCGCGGCTCTCCCGCCCTCGTCCCCCTCCTTCCTCTCCAACGCGCACTCCAGATCGGCGTACACCACGAACGGAATTCGCTCCTTTCTCGAATGATGATCGAACGTCAGCCACCTGTCGTCCTTGTCGGGAAGAACGATCGCGCAATCGTTCAGCTTGCCGCAATCTTCGCTGTGCGCCGACAGTTTCTCGCTCGTGCGAAAGTAATGCATGCATCTGAGAAATGAAAGATACGCGTTAGATCGATATTTCACTCACTCTCGTCAAAATCGAACGCTCACCGATCGCACACGTGCGTCCTGTGCTGTAGCTTGCTCAACTGCGAGCCGACCAGACGAGACAGATTTCGAACACAGGCGAAATGTCCGACCGCGTCACCGTCGCGCGTCGCATCATTCAGATACAGTAGATTAACGTGTCTCTCCCTCTTTCGATCCGTCAGACGAAGAGGGACGATGCGAAATCCGCCGCCGCCGCCTCCGCCACATTTCGCGCGTCGTCTCTCTCCGATGGTATACACATTCACCGATACATTGTTCAGATGCTCGAACCGTCCGATTCCGTTCAGAGTCATAGATAACTTCGAGCCCTCCAGATTCAACACCGTGGAGTAATGCGGATATCGCGAGCTTCTCTCGCAGTGCTTATCGACGGGATACAGAGCGGCGACCACCTAACCTAACCTAATCATTAACCTAACCTAACCTAACCACCGACAACGCGAAACACGCCTCGTCGTCGGATCGCACGTTGACCATCGCTCCCTTCGTCTGAAATCTCTCGCGGTACTCGTACGTAGCATCCCGCCCGCATGGAATTGTACCTGTTCACGTTCACCGTTAGATCGAGTATGCGCGATAGAGTCCATCCGCTGTCGCGCTCTTGAAACTCCTCCAAAGACGCGATGGTATCGCCGACGACGCGGGTATCGTACCACTCGAGCAGATCCGTCGTAGGTAGAAGGGGATGGTTTCTCGTGGCGATCGTCGTTAATGGCGATCTTATCGTCCGACACGAATTTTCCGTTGAACGCTGTGTTCACCTTAACGCTGCGATATCGGCCCATGACGTCGCGCACGCGGCGGAGCACGGTGTCCTTCGCGTCCTCGAGAAATCTCAGAGGTTCGATGTAATCTTGATTTATCACCGCGTCGGTCAACACGCGTCTCTTGAAGGCTGTCTCGAACTCAAACCGTCCTCAGGAGAATCCCTCGCGCGGCTCGACCCCTCCGTCGTCGTCCTCGCGTCTCGCGACACCCGCGCCCTCGCGCTCGAAGCGTCGCCGTAGATCGTTCCTCGCGCCGATCACTCGCAGAATTCGAGCGAACAGAGAGGTCGTCATCCCCGTAGAGATTCGGCGACTCGCGTCTTGACACCTCTCGCGCAGAGACGCGAGACATTCCTCACATCGTCGCGTCCACGCGCGATAGTCGTCCGTCGTGGCGACGTCGCGCACACTCTCGAGCATTCGACGCTCCTCCTCGCGCATGATCGCGTACTCTTCTCGCTCCCTACGACGATTCGTCGTCGTCGTCGTTGTCCTTTCTCTCTTCCGCACAGGGCCTTATCCACAGAGTCTCGCCCCGCGAATTCACTGGCAATGAAAACTCGCGACTCGCGCACCTTCGACGCGTCACGGTCACTCGCGTATCTCCGGCGTTGAATCTCGCCGCTCTTCCGTTACACACCAAGACCTTCTCGATCCACAACTCCTCGCGCGCGTCTGGAAAATCGATCGCTCGCCTCGTCGAATAGGTCGCGATGCTCCACGCAACCTTCTCTTTCAATACTCGGGCGTAGCGATCGATCGGTGGATCTACGCGCTACTCGCTCATGGAATCTCGCCCGTCGAGAGCGGTCAATCATAGCCGCAGAACGTTCTGCGCCTCGAAAAAATTGTCGCGTCTTTATACTCGTTCGTTCGAGCGACGATGACGTCGCGCGAGCGAGAAAAAATTTCTCCGCGGACGCGCGGTTTTTCCCTTCGGAAACGACGAATCCGTTGAAATATCGCATTCGAACGGATTCGACGCACATTATCGCGCGCATTTCTCGACGCTGCGCGTCCGAGAGGAAGGAACGGCGACGGAAGCGTCGTCGCGAATCTCCCTCTCGTCTCACGCGCGCGCGAGTAAATCCGAGCGGAAACTCCGCTCCTCTCTCGTTATCGCGTCTGACAGGAGAAATAAGCGGCGATTACGAGAAGAGGAACGCGCGTCTGACGACCGCGATATCGCGCGAAGACGCGTGTAACTTTATGATATAATAAAAAAATTTTACGAGTAATTTTTTCTCTCTCTCCTCGATTTACGTCACCTTCGTCTCTCCTCGATACGCGTCCGATTTCTTTTCTCGACTCGCGACGAATTCCTTCCTCCTCGAAATACATAAATCATATATATTATATAAATCAGACATTCTATCTCTTCTAGGCTTACATCGAATACATCTACTTTATTATTAACGTCGACTTTATCTCTGTCTCCGTCTCGTGCGTCGAAACGACGCGAGCCGGCGGAAACGTCCGCGGTCACATATTGTGCGCCACGCGCCCGACGGGACGATCGCCGCTTATCGCGCGCCTAGCGCGCCACGTCCAGAGACGCTCCCGACGCGCCGTATCCAGGGACGCTCCCGACGCGTACGTCGTAACCAGGGACGCGCGTGCGCTTTCTCCTTCTCTCTCACTCTCGCGTTCTTTCCCTCTCTCTCGCGCTCTCTCCCTCTCCCTCGCTTTCGCGCCGAACCTCTTTCCCGCGCGCTCCCTCTCGCCCTCCCCCTCCGCGTGACGTCACGACCCTCCGTTTATTCACCCGACGGCGAGCGGCTCCCCTCGCCCTACCTACCCTCCCTGCTCACCCGCGCCGCCGTCATCCTGCCCTTCAGATATCTTTCTATCTCTCTCGCTCTTACGGCGCTCTCTCTCGCATTCATGAGAAAAGTGGGTTAGAACCGGTCTATCCTCCCTACTGTCTTTTTTTTCCACGTTCAAATAGAAGCTAAACGAATTTTTTATATCATTAATGATGTTAAAAATAAAAAAAAGAAATCTATTATCAAACAAGACTGTTTCTGCGATATGTACAATAAGATCAAGTTTTCGAGCTAAAAGCATTAATTGTACTAATTTTTATGTACTATAGATTCCGAACATTTAAAACTACACAATCCGCAAAATTTATATGCAAAACCAGGCAATTCATGTAATGGTTCTTAATATACCTTTATTTTTATATTATGTTTTTTATATTATTTTTTTTATATAAATAATTTTATACATCTAACCGTAATGACTCTCTTTGTACATGCTGTTATATTTTCAGGTTTTATTTTATTTTGTTTTATTAGACTTACGTTAGATATTAGATTCAGATTTTATTTTATTTTTCATAATATGATAACATGTTTATTTTAACTGTGATATTATTTGTGTTTTACTACCTGCTATTTGTGCAATTTTTTTTATTAGATTTACGTTAGATATTAGATTCAGATTTTATTTTTTTTTATTATTAGCAATATGATGAAATGTTTATTTTAACTGTAATATTTTAACTGTGGTATTATTTATGTTTTAACTGTGATATTATTTGTGTTTTAGTACCTGCTATTTGTGCATTTTTTTTTATTAAACTTAAGTTAGATATTAGATTCAGATTTTCTTTTACTTTTTATTATTAGCAATTTGATGAAATGTTTATTTTAACTGTAATATTTTAACTGTGATATTATATTTGTGTTTCAGTATCTAATATTTGTGCAATTTTTAGGTTTAATTTCAGATTTTAATTTTATATTTATATTTTATTATTATCAATATTATTTATTAATTAAGACATTTTTTGTTGTTATATGAATACTGGTAAAGTTTCTGGCAGTTTTCCTTTCCCTTGCAACAAATGTTGGTATTCTTTGAGATGTCTGCCAAATAAAATATTTTTGTTTTATTTTGTAAATAAATTATATGTAAATTATATGTGTGTTTTATTTAAAGAATATATAACCTTTTCCTCTTTCCTTTTATCCTTTATTGTTCGCGAATGAATGCGTCGATGCTGGAGGCGCGCGACAGAGTTTTTGAAAAGAACACCACACGATTGAGAATAAAGACAAGCCACGACACGTATATTTTTGATTTTTTTCAGTTTTATTTTAATGACACCATACAATTAAAATAAAGAAAAGTTAATATGTACAATTATTTCAGAGAATGAAATGTAAGGACGAGTTAAGTCCTCGAACTGTTGAGCGAAGCAACGAAGCGGTTTTACAAGCGAGCGATTTCACGAGAGTAAGCGGTTTTAACTGAACGGCGTAAAGTGTGAAACTTCAAAAAGTACAAGACTTTGATGTGTCCACGCGCAAGGCTCATTATATAACGAGCGGAATATTGGGCCCGTTGCGACGTGGACCAATAAATTTTATATTTTAGCGGTGATCTCAGGGCGCCGCGCATTATTGGCCGCCGATGAGGTCTGACGTCGATGTTTTAGCGGTTGACATGCGCGTGATCTTTTTCGATCAGCTGATCGCCAATCAGCTGATCGTGACGTATGGGCGCGCATGCCCGTGCGCTGCGCTGATTTTGCTGACGGTTGACAATGTTGTTGTAAATGTATACATATACAACAAGCGTTTCTTAGGCCGCGTAAAAAATATAAGATAACTCGAACGTTCGAGTTTTTCTGATAAATCGAAGGCTCGAGAAGGTTCTTGATGCCCTTTAAATTCGAATTCTTGAATTATAATTGCTGATTGTTGCTTACAATTTATCGAGATAATTTTTATGATTTTCGAATATCCCGCTCTCCTCGTCAGTACATGA